CGTGGCCAGCAGGGCAAAGGAGGTGATTCTGCCCCTTTATCCCCTGCCATTCTGTCCCTCTGGTGAGACATCACCTGGACTACTGTGTCCAGCTTTGGAATCCCCAGCACAGGAAGGAGACATGGACCTGTTGGAGTGGGTCCAGAGGGGGGCCACAAAGATTATCAGAGGGCTGGAGCACCTCTCCTATGAAGACAGGCTGACAGAGTTGGGGTTGTTCAGTCTGGAGAAGAGAAGGCTCCAAGGATACTTTATAGCAGCATTCCAGTATCAGAAGGGGACCTATAAGAAAGGTAGACAGGGACTTTTTACAAGGACATGTAGTGATAGGTCAAAGGGTAGTGGCTTCAAACTGGAAGAGGGGACATTTAGATTAGATCTCAGGAAGAAATTTTTCACTATGAGGTGGTGAGACACTGGCCCAGGTTGCCCAGAGAACTTGTGAAGGCCTCATCCCTGGAAGTGTTCAAAGGCAGTCTGGATGGGGCTTTGAGTAACCTGGTCTAGTGAGAGGTGTCTCTGCCCCTGGCAGGGAGGTTGGAACTAGATGATCTTTAAGGTGCCCTCCAACCTAAACCACTCTATGATTCTATGATTCTATTGTGAACCTTCCTGTGAGAGGCAGAGGACTACAGCATATGACCTGTAAATGCCTCTGGAAGAGAAAGAAGTAGCCAGACACTATACCCTACTGCTTTAAGCTTTCAGAAAGGTGATTTTAGGATGTGGGGTTTTTTTTTGTATGTAGATCTGCCTGTGCATTTCAGACAGACAATCACTGGATAGAAAAAGTAGTATTTTTCAGACAAGCCAGAAGTCCTTTTCACCCAACTAAATATATAATGTACTCGACTGCCAAGTCTCTCTTGCTCTAGGTTCCATTTAAAGTCTACTGAGACACTTGTATTTTGGTGAGAGTACGAGGAAATGAAAGGGGTGAAAAGTTCATCTCCCATTTTAGCATGAAGACACATAGGCGAAGAAGCATCAGGAGCTGCAGGTGCAGCCTAGATTTTGGGTTCTGCTGCATTCATGCATTTTAAAAATTAATCATTCGGTCATTGAACATGAATCCTGTCATATTCCTTGAGAATAAGGCAAAGGGGTAGTCTCCAAAGTAATCCTTTGAGTTACACCACAAAATGGCCAAACTCTGTGCTTTTTTTGTAGGAACTGTGGCATAACCCCCCTGTGTAGGAAGAAGAGAAGTGTAATGTTTTAAATTAAGTGGTATAAATGTAGCTGGTGGATTTTCTTTATTTAGATTTTCCTCTAAGTTTAATAAACAACTTTAAAGCATTCAATAAGACCCAGAAAATATACAAGACAACAAAACAACAGAATACAGAAAATATACAACTAATCCTGTTAAATGTAAAATAGCATTTAAGTGGGAAGTTTTTGTTGTTAAATTCCTGCTGATAAGAAACAGAAGAGATATTTAAGGAAGCTTTGAAAACTACGTAGTAAGTGACATTTATCCTTGATCTGAAATGCCTAAACTTACAACTGTGTTGGTACAGCTGAACTGTGACCTTCCAACCTGCCAATACAGATAAACACACATGTTATCAGGTAAATCATGCAGAAGAGAAATTTCCTGAGGTTTTTGAAGCCCCACTTACAGGAAATGATGGCTATTAACTCATTAAGTTCTGTCTGTCTCTGTCTTCTTGCACATAAGCTCTCCACACAGCTGTAAGGATAATTAGTTTCCTTTGGCTTAGAGAGTGTTAAGGAGTATTAAAACACTTAGTTTGTATGGACAACAAACATATTCAGGGGCTGGGAAAAAAAAACACACGGAAATGCAAGAACTCCTTTAGTCTTTAGCTTGACAGAATCCTGGTGCCGGGGTAGATATGATGAGTTTATTTTGTTTGGATACATTATGCCAAATGGCTTTGTGATAAATGTTACTGGCTTCATCTAGTGAGTGGATTTGTCCAGGCAGAACCAGATTAAAGGGTCAGTATCCTGTTCTGAATTAGATTTCAATAATGCAGACATGGATGTGCACTCTCTTGTACTGGCAAGAGTTTTCATGCAGGGAAAAAGAGATGCTGTACCTTAAGGATACTCTCTACTCTTGCACATTACTGTATTTGTGTGGTTAAATGGATAATATAAAGTCACTGTCACTGTATCAGCCTAATATGCTCATGTCAAAATGGCACAACCACACACCATGTTATTTCAGCTGAGCTCTGGTGGCACTGGGGTCCATAGAGTGTTTTAACTGGGTTCACTTCAAAGCAGTTTTTGGGCTATTCACTGCTACAGGGCTCTCTCCAACTAGAGCAAGGACGGTACAAAAATTATTTGAGGTGACCTTCAGCTGTTTTTTTCCTGCCAGGAACAGGAAAGGAGCATTGGGTCGTGGCCAATGTTGGTTGGAATGAATGCTGCACAGTCTTGTTGAGAAGGAGAAAGGATTTATTTCTCAAATAGGGCTTAATTTATTAGGTACAATATGAAAGCTCACATTTTTGTATTGCTGGAGAAAGACAATTGATTAATAATTTGGGAAAAGGCCAAGGCACACAACATTCACCTTTTAAATTTATCATCTCAAAGAAACAAAAGCAATATGAAACATACCTGACCAAAATATATTATTAAGCAGAAATGAAAGCTGGTTCATATGAATGCCTTTAGTATGACAGGCCTTGCTAAGACATTGCTATTGCCAACAAAAATGTAAAAAATCTGAAGCTAATAGTTAAGACTGTAGGAAATTTGCAGATAAGCTACAACTGGAGGAACTTCCACATTAATAATAACTATTAATAATAAGATATTTGAGACTAGGGAGGTTAAGGTCACTAAAACAATTTCAGCAGTTCCTGGCAAGAACATAAACTCAAAGTCAATTCTTCATCATTAAATACAGTCTTAGGGGAAAAAGAAGTGTACAGGCTCTTCTAATTCTTGATTAAACATCACACTGTAAAAGCAGTCATATCACCTCATTTAGAAAGAATCCAAGTGCCAAACCTATTACACAGATGGTCTCATTGACAGTTCTTATGTATCGTGTATACACATTTCTTCAGCTCTGTAACATCGACGTATTGTGTAAGTATGGAAAAGCTTAAAAGGAATTATGATTTCCAGCACTGTTTATTTTGCTGCCAGATGGGAGAAAGATTGTCAAGCACAAAAGGTGTTCTTTACCTTTTGGATCAGGAAAGCCTTACATCTGCATGCATGACATACATTTTATTTCATAAAATAGTAATAAAAAAAAGAAAACAGAAGATGAACAATCATAAAGAATAAGAAGTACAGGAGATCCTGTTCATTTCATGAAACAGCTGCTAAAGCAAATGCAATATTCTTCATTACTACTACATGGGTCCAGAGAAGTCAGTAGGTGAGATTTATTGAACAGCATCTTCTGGTCTGGCAAAACGTTGGAGATCTCTCTCTACTTTGATTCCTCTTCCTGCTCTCTTTCACCAGAAGGAGACCTAGGACTTCTGGTTCTTCTCCTCCTTTCTGTGCCCTTGCCTCTTCTTCCAAGCCATATGGAGTTCCTCTTGACTGGTTTTCCAACTCTACCTTGTAGCAATGCAGATCCCACACTCTTCTTTCCCCCAAACATCTTTATCTATTCAACTGGACAGTTCTGATGCAGAGTACAATGATGCTCGGACTTAAATCAGATTGTGGTATTGGCATTGTTAGTGTGGTATTGCAAGGATTTGTGTGTGGCTAGGAGTGTTACAAGTGTCACAGGTCCTATGTTTGTGATACTGCATTTTTAGAGCATAGGTAAGAATGTTTTCATCAGGTTTGAGGGCTTTAGCATAAACATTGAGCTTTCCCTTGATCACAATCCTTTAAACACTTAAAATGATACACTAAAATGCATATGCTGCTCCTATTAAAAGCTGGGAGTTATGTAAATTGCAAAGAATTTTCAAAGTTTAAAAAAAAATAAAACAGCCAGGTTTTAAGACTTTCTCTCATAGAAGAACCTAATTCTTGTTGCATCTCATTATGCTAGAAAATTATCCTTGTCAGGAGAACATGCATAAAGATTTCAATCTGATTAGCTCAATCTTGGCAAAATCATGGAGATAAAGTTAAAACTTGCTTAATACTAAAGCTGGGGACAGAGCTTCACTTTATATTTGCCTGTATAAAATATTGTGACCTATCATTCTACCATATCAGTCCAGAGAACCAAGTGTTAGTCACCAGTCTGGTGTTTTTCAGCCTTTATGTTGTGATATTACATTAAGAAAAAAGAAATATAATACTTCTGAACCATTCTTGACAGTTTACCACAAATTTAGCACCAGCCCTTTCAGATTTCCCATTTTGCTTATAAGTTCATAGCTTAGAAAAACTTTACAACTCCCTTACAAGAGTCACCCCATTTCCTGGCAAAAGGGAACAGGTTGATAGAGGCTCACCTTGAAGAAGACTGAATATTTCTGAGACCAGATTCTGCACCCTAATTGAAGAAGTCCTGCAGTATCTCTGTCCAGGCAATTCAGTTCACTCCAGTTTTCACTCTAGGGCGATGTCTGCTGATCTTTGCATACATATGTACACACATACATACTTGCTATTTGGCTCTCAGCTTCCTCTCTGGGATGCATCAACTCATTCCATCCATGAGGAATCCTGGCCACAGGTGACAGGATGGTTTGCTAAGATATCTAGTGTGGATGTACATACTGCTGTACATACATACTGTGTATGTGTACATACTACCTCCACCTTGGACACTCTTCTAACCATTTCACAAAAGACACCCTCAAACATACCCGTGCAACACACACGCTTGTGTTTCATGAATCACTGCATAGTAACACTGGGCAGCCTGGACAAGAACCAGCTGATAACACCTAGACAAGCAGCCACACAACCAAGAGTCAGCGTAGAGCCAGGCTAAAGCCATTGCTTTCAAATAGGAAACTGATACTCACTGAATGCTTGTATTTAATGATGCTTTAAGGTTTTTTTGCTGTTTTGACTTTTTTCAGAACCTGAGGCAGGAGAGGTATCCCCCCCAGTGGGAGCTGGTGTGAACAGCAACAGCTGGACCTTTAAATTTGGACCGGGCAATCCCAAACAAGGTGGTCCTGGTGAGTTGCCAGACAAATTCATTATCCCAGGATCTCCTGCAATCATCTCCATCCGGCAGGAGCCACCAAACAGCCAAATTGACAAAAGTGACTTCATAACCTTTGGCAAGAAAGAAGAGACGAAGAAAAAGAAGAAAAAGAAGAAGGGAAACAAGACTCAGGAGAAAAAAGAAAAGGGCAACAGCACCACTGAGAACAGTGACCAGTAAGGGGTTTATACTGAAAGAAGCCACTTAGCCAGTTTTTGTAATAATGGCAGATTTCTCCTATGTAGCAGCTCCCAACTTCTTCCTACTGTTAACAGATTTCCTGTATGTACAGACTTGAGAAAATCAGCAGGAAATTCACAGTGTCTGTCTAAATTGCTTAACAGGTTTTGTCTTAAAAGCTTTATTAAGTCTGGTGTTAACTCTTTTTCTCCACTCTGGCTTGTTTTCAGAATCTAAAAAGCAGACACAAGTTTCCTTTCTCCTACGCCGAAAAGGAGAATCTTCACAGTACAGCCAGTGAGAGGTTGGACTCTGCACTGTGGTTCCTGTGCTCCTGTCTTGATGACACTTACAGGACAGGTTTAAAAGTTTTAATGTTGTGCACCCTCTGTCTGATTGGAAATATTTGTGTGCAGATGTCAGCTAGGTGATATGAAATCAGACTATAAAATGCAAGAAGAGCTCATAAATATGCAACAGAGGAAACACCTAATGAACACAAATGTTCAAAGATGTTCAGGCTGGGGAGAAAATGTCTAAAAGGAGATGACCAGACTTTTCAAATTTTGAGAAGTCACTGTGTGGAAATACTGAGTCCTATACATGACGTATTGTACACACTCCTGCAAATAAAACCTCACATTTACAGCTCTTTAAGATACCATAAATTTCATCTCTTACCAAGCAAGCCATTGGGAAAATTATCCCTTAAAGCCCTGCATTACCCTGGCATGGCGAGCCCTCAGAATGTAAGAAGGGCTGGGCTGACATCCCAGGAATGTAACTGTGATGCTCTGTGTCCCTATTTCCACTCTAACATTATTTTGCACATTATGTCTCTGAAAAGGTCAGAGTTTTTCCACGACACTTATGCAAAAGAGAGAAAAAAGAAAAGTTAACTATGCTATTTGTTATTTGAGATATTTATTTATAAAGAAATATAGCTGTAAATGTTAAAGAAATATGATGCCCTTTAACCCAAACAGAAGTCAATCTAGAGCCATTATAAATTACAATTGCTGCTATTAAAGTGCTTTAGAAAAATTGCCTGAAACATCTGTATTATATCGGCCACTTGCCAATAACAGCTTTATTCTGTCGGGTGACTTGGGGGCTGCCTCTTGCATGTATTAATAAATACAAGAATATCTTCTCTTTTTCTTTGCATTAATCTGCACTTTGAATACACTTTTGCAATCAAACTGTCCTAATATGAAGAAGCAGAAGCAAACTCCTCACACAAATGGATTTAATAACCTGCTAGCTCTGTGCAGTACCTTGGTGTTACCTCCCACACAACCTTTTCTGATTTTAGTTTTACTTTTCTATGAGATTATGAATTTCTGACCCTACTAACACTCATTATGTAAAATTCAAGTACTGTATGTATGCTGTATGCTCTTATAAGAATCCTGAAATATTTATTCTGTGCTTGTGTATGTGAATGTCAATGCAACTATTATTAGAGTGGACTTTAAGCTTTACTGTTGAATGTAAATTCATTATTTCTTTTTTGTACACTTGTGAAAAAGTGGAGTAGTGTTAATTTTTTAAGCCACTGTTGATTATAAGTTTTTTGTGTATGAAACACAAGTAAAATATCTTTCTTAAATCAAGCCATGCATGCATTTGGGGATTTATTGGTAAGAATCTGTGAAGCTCTGAATTACTAAACCTAAGGGTATAAATGGAGTCTTGAATATGGTTGAGGATGTTGATATAAAACCAATACATGTATTTTTAAATAGAATATAACTGATGAGGGAATTCCAAGGAGTTTTCTACATTATTGTACATTCACAGAATAAAGCTCAAGTGTCATATTAATTGGAACTGTGTAAGAAACTACATAGCTCTGAAATTTCTAACAGGCCCTTTAATCTACCATCAAAGAGAACAATTGGATTTCTTGAGACATGTCGTGGATGTTTTAAGTTTCCAAACTGCTGACAGTTCAGAATAGGACAATTCCTATTGAAATTTAAGAACCTGAAGCAAGTCTTAAAACATCACAGAAGGTAAAGCTCTAATAAAAGAATTCATATCTCAAAGCATGTACCACCAACGGCCTCATGTGGTGTGTTTAGACTTTTCTTTTGCTACCAGTCTTGTTTTACTGGCAATGAAAAACATGCTACTTGAGCAGGAGAATCTTTGATTCCATTTTGAAGGCTGTCCAAGGGGGAAAATACTTAAGATTTGGGGAGGGAGCTGTTCTTTTATGCAAGTGTGCTATGTGAGTACATTTAGACTATTTTTTTTTTATTTGGTGACTAATCCAACAGTTCTCAAAATGTTCATTAACTGGAGTTACAGTGATAAACACACAGAAGAATACTAGTGTTTTGTACTTATCATAAAGTAGTTCTCCTCAATGCCTCTGGCAATTTAATTCTTACAGGAATCTTTCACATTTGATTATTTTTAGATTTTAATTGATTTTTTTTATTCTTTTGAGTGCTGGCATTTTCCTCTGTACAGACCAATCTGATTCATTCATTTTTCATCAGTGGTCATACCCACCTGTTTTTTCCAAGGCTTGCTTCTATCAAAATCAACCAAGAGCCGCATTATGTCTCCAGTTTGCCTGTTTTAACAGAAAATTACATTTGCCAGTGCTGGCTTTGTTGCAAGTGCTTACTGCAGGAGAACAGCACACTTGCATGGCTTGATAGACAAAAGCAGAATATCTGAAGATAAGAATTTCAGTATCCAGATCAGATAGAACAGAGAAAAAACTCTCAGAGGAGATGCTCGTGCTGGAATTGTTTAAAAAGAGGCTGGATTGCACCTGTAAAATATACATTACACAGATTCACTGTGTTTTCAGAAGACTTAGTCAGACAACTCACCAGATTTAAAAATATTTTTCCATTTGAACTCTCTAGTACAACTGGACTCCTGAAATATATTAAGTGAAATTTGGCTATTTCAAAACTCGTATACAAAAGATACCATTGTCATCCTTGATTCTGGATGTCCAGGAGGAGGAGAAACCTCGGCATGAAGTATTTTTAGAGGACTGGGGTGAGGGGTGACAGAAGGCAGAATCTGCACATTCTGCCACAGTTTTGGGGGTTACTGTTTAAATACCAGGCAACAATGGGAACTGAGAATCAGAGGTGGCCAAGACAAACAAGAATCAAGAAATAAAAAGTTTGTTTAATCCTCTTGCTGACAAGGAAACAAGCAAGACAAAATGCACTGCATAATTTGTTAACAAAGAAATTATAATTTTGGGGCTTTTTACCACTCGAACAATTTATTTCTCTCAGAATCCATATACTTTCCATGAGCATATTGTCTTTGGAATTCTGTTTTTTATGCATACACGATCAGTGGCTGAAACTATTAGGCTTTTATAACAATTAAGCCTGAGTTATGTTGTACATTAATTACATCCTGTCATTAAAAATATAGTTCATTTTACATTAGCCTTCTGAGGCTTAGTCTTATGCAGTTTCTTTCTGCTCAGTATTTGGGTCATTGCATATCATAGGAGGGGGATCCAATTTAAGTTTTCCAATGTACAGGGAAGAACACAGAACTCAAAATGCATTTCCCAAACTTCCTGTATGAAAATCCATTATGGAAATATTGGATGCCAGGTTTAATATCTTTTAGGATATTCTTTCATTTTCCCTTCTTCTTCTCTCATTTAATGCATTTCAAGAACCACTTCCATTTTTGGAAAAAGCTGTTATACTGTTAATTGGCATTCTCCCCAGGAGAAATGTGAGTAAGGTACCTTTATAGAACAGTACTTATTAGAACATGATACAGTGACTACAACTTCTATAGGATATAGAAGTTATATAGATATAATTCATTTTGTCTAATGAAAGGTTTAAACCTGCCTGTTCTGGGGCTAAAAAGTCTCAAGGTTCCAATAAATAGCATTTCCTCCAGGAAACTTCATTTTATTAGCTCCCTAATCTATATGTAACAAAGTGAGTCCATGATTCTTCCTGTTTCATGCCACTACACACTTCAATTAGAGCTTTCTGTATTTCTAAAATCACCTGTTCTCAAACTGTAATTTACATTCTTAAACTCAGTTACTCCCTTTCTTTTACACATTTGGCCTCATTTGTTTTAATCCAGATACAGCCAAGATTGTGTCAACAGCTGAATAAAATAAACCACGTACAATCTTCCTTCCTCATCCTGTTCTCCCTCAGAAGCAGTTTTGTGGAGCTTGTGTAAGACAAGTATGAAGGAAGGAGCTGAACCATTATACTCATTAGAGTCATAAAGAATGAGTATATCCCTCAGTTTTGCTGTTATTTAATTGTTTGGAAGTTACTGCCTGTTCCTTGGCACAGGCACTTTTTTAAACTAGTGGCAAGAGTCCCATGTAGTGTTTGTTTTCCATTAGCTCTTGGTATGGGGATGCTGTATGGTCCACTCTCCTGAATTCTTTCTCCTCTCCATGGCCTCCATCCCTCACTAGGGGATCCAGTGACACTGCTCTGCATTTGCAGATAGATATGCATATATATATATATATATATGTAGCATTTATGCCAATATATGTAGAAGTCATGTTCTTTTACGGAACACTGCAACACCTACTGTCAGTGGTAATATTTCTTAGGCAACATCTATTATGCAAATCTATCTGATTTTTCAAGGTGATGCTATTATGGTGACATTATGCACCTACTTCCAGAATATATGCCATTCAGGTGCCTTTGGCTGGCTTAGAGAACTAACAAAAGGGATTCTTCAGCATGAAGTACCACAGAATTGCTTCTGCCACATGGTGAGAACGTATCTTAAACCGTGGATTTCCTTTCATATCCCAGGACAGCCTCCATGCAGTCACTGACACAGGCTTTAATATCAAAAGATGACAGAGATGTAGTGAAGTAAACATCTCTCAGAAGCCACACAACTTGGCAAATATTAAAAATGTTTGCCTGCCAGTGGTGCTCAGAGCTATGTAACTGTTGTCTGAATAAAACTGCAAGTAACTAAGCCACATTGAAGAACTGATGTCTGAAGCATAGAATCATAGAATGGGTTAGGCTGGAAAGGACCCTAAATAACATCTAGTTCCAACTCCCCTGCCATGGGCAGGGACACCTCCCACTAAACGAGGTTACAAACAGATGAACTAGGCTTGAAAACTAGATTTTTAAAACCAGGACCCTGACAAAGATTTGGAGTTATTAAACTGTCCTTCATACAGAGTAGAGAAGCCATTAAGTCTGTTGTCACTCCAGTTTGTCCACTCACTTGTGCCTCAATACAATGAGTTCCATTATGGAAGGAAGTGGGGTGTGTCATGAAGAGATAACCCCATGTTATCTCGTGTGCTCTCAGGTGGGAAATGTTTTGCTACAGGCATAGCATTACAATAAGGCACACAGGTTGGAGGTTGGCCACACCTATGGGGCTTTGTCTTAGGTGAAGGGTGAAAGTCCATGTGTACCCTTCCAGCAGGAATAATATCTGAATCACCTGCCAAATGTGAGACCCTGAAGGACTTAGTAGTGAATATGCCATCAGTGCTGGCATAGTACATGTGACTTCAGGCTTCAGCCCTCAGATGGGATAACATTAGAGCTGGCCTTGGCAGCCCCGTTCCAGTTCCTTTGGTGATATTTTGTAGAAGGTTCAAGTGTCTTGGCACCCCCTGAGCCACTCTGAGAAGAATGAGAAAGTCCTTTCCCATTAATTATAGGAATGGTGCCACAAAAGAAGCCTGACAAGACAGAATAATTATTAGACACCTTAGACTTTTAATCCTGCAATAGCATTGAAGCCTGACAAGACATAATAATTATTAGAACACGTCACTCACAGTCACCTTAGACTTTTAATCCTGCAATAGCATTTTTGTTAGATAAATCCTTCAGCTTCCACTCAGCACAACTTCAGTGGGAAAAATGTGTGCAGTTTTGAGGAAAACTAAGCTGAGAATGTGTGTAGATGTAATTCTACATCCTAAGTTCCCAGTGTATCATAGTCCAGGTTCAGGAAGACATGAATCACTCTCTATCTCAAAGAACTTTCTTCCATCAGTGTTTAAAGAATCCTTCCTGAAGTTGCTCTACCTGTGAAATGGTGTGCTAAACCAGTTATGAATCACATCAATTCAGTACACTACAGCTTATGGCTTTTCAGATATCACCACTCCTCACCCCCAGATTATGTACACTGTCAAAGCCATTACTGACTGATTTATACCTTCTGCTTCATCGCTTATGGTGCAAACAGCCTGAGGACCCAAGACCTCATTCCCTTGGGCTGGCACAGGAGGCTCAGGCCCTGCCTAGAGTAGTTATGCCAACCTGACCCTTCCCAGATGCTGTGAACCCCAGCTGTGGGCATCTTCATCTGGCACCAGGGCTGTGTAGTGACAGGATGTAGGGGCTTAAATTTGCTGAATTTGGTCTCAACTCCCTACCTCACAGTGTGGAAGTTACCTGGGCTGCAGGCTCTACCACATGTTAGGTAAGGGACAAGCCTAAAACCACAAAATTCTGCTTGTCTTCTTAGATGCCTAAAAGGAGATTATGCAAGGTATTGAGATTTGAGAAAGTGATTCACAAAGCTCCTGATGGGTATTTACCCAATAAAGAGGAGCTGCCTGATCCCAAGGTTGTATAAATTGCATTAGAGCAGCTACTCCTAGACTCAGAAAGTTTTTTGTAGGACTGAATTTAAGCTGCCACTGCACATCACAAAAGCTACCTTAATCTTTCCAAAACCACACATAACAATCTTTTGTTAATCTACTTCAGTGCAATTGCAATATAAATGCAATCCTGAAGACAAGCTGCATCTTTCCCTGACAGGTGACTGCACTCAGGCAGGTGCAAGTACCTCCCTCTGTTTTCAGGGAGTAAATGGCACAAAAAGGTGAAATTAGTTTTATTTTATCCTTAGGCTCCCTTCACACGTTCAAGAGTAGGTCTCAGCTGCCCACATTCTGGGCAGCAGCACAAGCAAGGAGACATTTATGAGCCAGAAAGTAGTGGGAGTGTTATGTGGGTGAATTTTTTCACATTAGAAGATATTAGGGATTCAAAGTAACAGGTCA